TTAATAATTCTCTAATAAAAACTTTTTCGGTAAATTGGTTGTTTGGACAAATAGGCACCGAGATGAGAATGAATAGATTTTTAGACAGGCTATTTACTAGTTTTGGGTCCGAAAATAATACAGAAATTAACGCTGTATACACAGCTTTCAAAATATTTTTAGTTAAATATGGTGCCAAAATATTATATTATTAAAGAAGGCCGTACATATAAAATGTAATCTTAATATTCTAGACACAACAAATTGCGCTTATTAACTTGTACAAAAGAAATTCGTTAGAAATGTATATTGTATAAGGGTATAAGACCTTAATAAACGTTCAATTAATATGTAATTGCGAATTTCTCTACGCTTTGAAATGATATTAGGGTAGAATATCTATAATAATTGTTTTGTTTCTACTCGTATAATTTGTCTATAAAGAATATTTAATAATTTAAGTTAATTTATATAGATTTTTATTAGTCAACTAGCATTGCCTGTGGCTCAGCCCGCGTTCAGATGACCAAAAACAAAATTCTTAGGTTTTACATATTTGTATACTCTTACATTGCAGTTTTTGTATTTTTTCTCAGAAATGAGATATTTTCCCGCGGTAAAAAGTATCCTATATGTTGACCCGAATAATCAGCTATCATCATACCAAGTTTCATCGAAATCCCTCCAGTGGTTTTTACGTGATGCGGTAACAGACAGACAGACAAAAATTCTAAAAACTATTGATTCGGCCTCTGTATCGAAAATAATGTCTATTTTAATAAGATTTTCCAAAAAATATTTAATGTACAGATTCGGCTTAGTTAGAATTTTATTATATGTATAGATGTGTAGGTATTTAATTTAACAATATAAATTCAACTTTTAAGAAGCTTGTAACAGCTATAAACCTTTATCTCTTTTATTAACCGTTTTGTATATGCATAAATGAAATTTTATAAACTGTTGGACTGCCTCATATGTGTCTAAGAAATAACCTTAGAAAAACTTGGTTGATTCAGGAAGAATGGTATAAATATTGTTATGAGCTTGGGTTCTGAGATCGGAAATTAAACCTTTTGCAATATATGTATATGTTTTATTACTTTTACGTACACAAGAGTCCCTAATAGCACTTCATTTATACTCATAGTATATGCGCAGTAATGGCCTAGTTCAGTTTCTAAGCACTGTATTTCACCACTAATTCCACTTATGTTATTACTTTACTTTATTTTTCGTATTAATTCGTACCAATTTTCATTTAATTTAATTTAAATTTTTTATATAAGTTTTAAACAAATCTATTAATAGTTTCGTAAATGTTCTCGTTGTGACAATTTCTGTCTGGAAGGTATTTTATCTCTTTCTCACTTACGGCAATCACCTATCGACTGTCCTTGTTTATGCGTTAATAAATATCTTACAATCTCACTCCATATTTTAGGCATGGTTTTATCTAAAGATTTTTTACACTTTGAAACAATATAATTTCGGTACTTTTAGCCAAAGAAAAAAAAACCTTAGTTTATTGTTACTTTATTCTATTCAAAGAACATTGTAATCATTGTAAATTAGTGAACCTTTTAATTTTAATTTGATTCTTTCTTTTGGCTTTTAAACGTGCCAGTTGAGGTCTTATTATTTCACCAACATCACGTAAAATGCAGAATACGCGAGGATAAGATCCTCGACACACGACACGAATGATAATGAATTTGACATCTAAAAAAAGTCTTAATATTGGTTTCTAAAATAATAATTTATTCATCACATATATAAATTTGTTCTTTTAATATTAAATTACTTATTTTTACTATACTTTTGAAATTTAAAACTAGTAGTGAAATTATATTAAATAAATTATATTATCCATGAATCAATTACTTTTAGTTTTCATACACTATCTTTTTTCATATTTTGTAATGCAGGATGATTGAATTAAATTAATCTGAACTTATACCAAGATGAAAAATTACGATGTGGTTAATAAGGATAATATAATTGTAAAAGATATGTATAATTGAATACATTTTTTGTACAATCTATACATATAATAAAATTGTAACTAAGCCGAATCTGTACATTAAAATTTTATTGAAATAAACATTATTATCAATACAGAGGCCAAATCTATAGCTTTTAGAATTTTTGTCTGTTTGTCTATCTGTGACCACATCACGAAAAAACCACTGCACAGATTATCCGGGTTATCCGGGTCAACATTTAGGATACTTTTTACTGCGGATCAATATCTTATCTCTGAGTAAAGCTAACTAGGGACGAACCCGAGCGGAGCGAGGGTGATTTGATAGTTATATTACAAACGTCTAAGTAGGTTTTACATATTTTATATAGTTGGCAAAACAACTGCGTAGTTAGTGGTAATATTTCGTAGCAGTATCCGTAGCAGTCTCGCTATGTAAGACAAATGTCGCTTCTTATGTAGTGAATCATCTATTTATCGAGTCCGAACGATTTTTATTCGAATTTATTGTCTACTGAAACTTCGATGGAAATATTTTCATTCTATCATATTCATTCATATGCTTTTTAACTTTGTTAACTTTTTGAGTAATCGGAAATGAATGTTTCTGATACAAATTAAAATATAGTATATTAACTTACATACATCAGGTGGCGCGTTATGTAGGTATATTATATACTAGCGACTCACTCTCGCTGCGCTCGGGTTCGTCCCTAGCTTGATTTCCCACACAAACTTTCATACCCTTTTTTCACTCCCTTAAGGGATGATTTCCGGGTTAAAAAGTATCCTATGTCCTTCCAATGGTCTCAAACTATCTTCTTACTAAATTGCATGTAAATCCGTTCAGTAAATCCAGAGATTTACAACGTCACAAACTAGTACACGTAGTTTTATATACTGTCATTTTTTTACGAATGAATTTGGATTACAAACATTATATTTTATTTCAATCTGTTAAATTTAAATGTGTATTTTAAACAACCTTTTTTGTGAGCTCCCATATAAATAAAGGGGCATGTTAGTGGCTGTAAAATAAAGAGTAATAATAAGCGGGTGCTTCGTGCCACGGAGTGGAGCTAGTTCCACAATTGCTAAACTCGTTGTATCCTTAAATAAAAGAACTTCCTGCGGGTTCACTTGTAAAGTTTATTTATGTATCTACGCATAAATAGACAAAGATAAAACAGTTGAGAACTTTTTCTCTGTTTGTCAACTGATTTTTGACAGCGATTACTACTACTATGGCCTGACATAACGTAAGGGGAGATCCATGTCCAGCAGTGACATATTAAAAATAGCTAAAAATGAAAAAAAAAACACAGGTATTTATATGGTCAGTTAAAATTCGAACATAATATTAAACTTTCTAGATGGTCTTGAATAAAACTTGTACGATGTATACATATGCTTTAAGATTGTATTTAAATATATTTAAATAATATTTAAAAGTATTTAAAGTATTTCTTACTACATATAGTTATGTATTAATGTTTTGTAGAGTACGCATTCGGAACTTTCCTTTTTACTTTCTACTGATATTTGAACCATGTTTATTGAATTGGAACATTTATTTTCTAACATGATATCAGGTATCAACCAGATATAATACCGCTACAAGATTTTTATGAAAACTAGTTTTTACCCGCAGCTCCGCTCATGTGATAAGAATTTTCGTGATGCAAATTATTTATATTTTATCAAAATCTGTTTAGCGATTTTAGCATGAATTTTGAAATGCATTTTTAAAATGGGCTCAGTAGTTTTTGAGCTTAAAACACTTAAAAATATTATAAATATTAGTTTTACAATAATGTATGAAAGTCTGCCCGAATTGTTGACATTTATGATTACTGCTCCGCCCTTTTGGGTAGTAGCATGATGATATATAGCCTTCCTTAATAAACGGGATATTTAATGTAAAATTAAAATTTTTCAAATCGGATTAGTAGTTCCTGAGATTAGCGCGTTCAAACAAACAAGATATTTATACATATTATGTATTCAAACTTACATACTATTTAATTATATTAGATTCCTCGTCTGGCAACACTTTTAGTTGGGTTGAAGGTGGAATTCCGCAACACCTTTTATTCTCATTATCTCGACTATTGTTTCACACGGTTTCCCTTATGATGCCATCTGTTATGTTGAACGTGATATTCTTTTGTCTTCTTAATGTTGATGTCTGAGCTGTGATAAACGTGTCTCTTCTTTATTGGCACTTGGCGTATCCCAACCTCAATGTGACACATGAACATGATGAGAACATGACATATAGAATAAAGAAAAAGGGAAAGGCAATCGAATTCGTTATTTAGTAAAGCATGGATTTATTTCAACCACTCTATTAGAGTGACACTTGATTGAAATAAAAACATATACTTTTGATTTATCAGTGTGTATTTTTCTAATTCAGCCAACAGCTGTACCTTGAATATTAGGTATATAAATAGTTTCAATTCAATATAAAAATTTCTTTTAGTAACCGTAATCTCGAGTCTTCTTTTATTAACGAACTATGCGAGTTTTTAAAAGAAGGCATTATATTGGATTCTAAATCTGAAAACTTTCTAAAACTTGGCAAAAACTTCAAAATAACCCCAAAAATACCTCAATGGTATAGGACTGTCATAAAAGTTTTATAAGTCCATTTTGTTTTATAATTTCAATGAAAAACAAAAATCAATTATATCTATAAGATAGGCAATAGACATGCAATTTGGGAATTGTATGCATATACAAATATTATAGTAGCATATTTTTACATATGTATACAAATATTAAAAAAATATATCATTAATCAACAGTTAAATTTTGTACTTAAAATTTTACAATAAATATTAAGTATATGAAAACAAACTTCTTTTTTGTAATTCGTTTGATAAAAAATAATTAAATATTCTAACTACTTCATTATTAGAATTCAATATACTGAAAAATGCGTTGTATCAGTTATTGTAGATTAAAAAAAACTCACAGTGTTAATTATACGATATTACCATTTTCATATTAATTTTGTTATTTCCTTTCTTAGCTCTACTGGCGGGGACTTTAAGAACTATGCAGCGAGCAGCTTGTGACAATCAAATGGTATCTTTGTCGTGTCCTTCTGGTACCATAATCAGTGTGCAGTTCGCACAGTACGGGAAGGCTGTGCCTGGAGGCCATAGTTGTGTAGCTGACAGTGCAGGCATAGTCGGTGAAACGGAAGAGTGCTTATGGCCTAATCCTATGCAGGTACATTTCATATTATTAGATAATATAATAATTGTATTCAGCCTTTTTTAACGTCCCACTGCTGGGCACGGGCCTCCCTTCAGTACCAGGGGGATCAGGTCATAATCCACAACCCTGGCTAAGTGCGGGTTGGCTGATTTCAAATGTCTTTCGAAAACTTGCTAGGTTGCCTCAAACATGCAGGTTTCCTCATGATGTTTTCCTTCACCGTAAGACAAGTGGTCATCAGGCTGGAAATGATTCGCACATGGAAGTATGAGAAGTGCGAGACCTGGGATTCGAACCCGCTTCACTCGGTTTCTCAAGCGAGTGCGTTGCCGCTGAGCTACCACTGCCATAGATATAATATTTTATAATATTTAAATAGTAAATGTTTATTTTTTATTTTGTATCAATAATTATCTGCTAAGACGGGAATGGGTTGGTAACGTACGAGTATGATATGTCCATATTGTAAGAGTGCGATTACATTCACGGTGTTGGATATTGTTTGCTTCTCTTCAAAAGCCACCAACTTTTGTTTCTTGTTGTCCACACCAAATTAATACGTTGCCGAAATTTTAAAAGAATATTTCTGTCAGCTCAAGACTATTTAGAGGTTAATAACACAACTTACATTGTTCATATGACATCAGATTAATTTCTGAAGGGTCCTCTATCCGTAATGAAAGTTTTGTTTTAAATCGCTTTAGAAATTTCGGAGATTATCCTAGCTAACCAATCAGACCCAAATGTTTCAGGGATATAAGTTTTGATAATTTTGATAATTGTTTTGCAGTTTTGATAATTGACTAAAACTGGACTGGCAATTCGTCTACGCATAAATTCTCTGATCGTCAAACTCCTTTCAATTCATTGGGACATTGCTTTAAAAAAGAGACAGACAAATAAATACAGTACTTAGTTTTTTGATAGGGTGTGTATAACAGAGTTTAAGAAAAAACCTTTCTTCCAAAAGTATGGACAGACACTCAAATTTTATATATATGAGTAGATAATAAAATAAAATTTCATACAGCTTTAAGTTTACAAACTAAAGTTTTCAAATTTTCATTTTTAGTTCTAATGTATTCGAGAAAATATCAATTGATATAAAATTTGTTTCATTTTCAAACAGTATTCCATATTACAAACTGTGGTAGAGGCGTGTCAGAAAAAACCTCAATGCGTGTTTAGTACTAAGTTGAAGCCAGGACAGGAAGACCCCTGCCCGCGATCAAGAAAGTTCGTTGAAGTGGCGTATAAATGTCGACCCCGTAAGTACTAGTATATAATTTAAAAGTTCCAGAATTTCTTTTAACTTATAATATTTTATATAATACCACCGTTAAGCTACGTATTACTTGTAACGATAAAAGTCCGAAGGTCGATTTTTACTTTGATTTGATGCTTATACATTAGAGGTGTTTGACCCAGACTAGTTAGGTCGAAATTTTTTGACTTTTTTCTATATTTATTCTACTCATTATATACACTGAAGCTACACGTATTAATGTTTAATTTGTATCGTTCGTATTCAAAAGGTGAGCAATTTTATTGGTTAAGGTTAATTGGTCAAAGCCCGCCATGAGGAAAAATCCTGTGTATATGTTGATTGCATTATATCAGATTTAACAACGATATACCATTTTGATAATTTATTTATAATATATTTTGTCTGCGTCTGTGGTAAGTCGGTATCTCTAGAGTAAGTTATAATAAATAGTCTAAGATCCCTTCACTCTCTCTCCAGGCGAAATATATTTTTTTTAAACCATAAAACATATGGACAAACACGACTCAGGGGGGTTGTCAAACGTGTGTTCACCTTGTCGTGGTGGGGGGGCTCAGTAGTACTCGGCAATCCAACCAGGCGCGAAGCCAAGAAACGCACAGGGAGGTGGCCCACTTCGGTAGGTGGTGGGAGGTGGCCCTCTTTGGTGGGCGGTGTACCATGCGGGTTGCTCCAGGTACTTCTGTGATAGCAGAGTAGACCTTGGAGCAACCACACGGTTGTGGTGGTCTGCTTCGGCAGACCTGCCGTCGGGGACGTTGAAGTTGAATGCGTAAGCGATCCTGCGACGCCCCATTAAGACGGGGAAAGGTTTTGTTGTGTTTTAGTGGGTAGTACTGGCTTTATTACGCCGGTGAGTCCCACATCTCGTGCGTAAATGCATTTCCCAACGTTAAAAAAAGGGGGGTTGTTACCAAAAATTTGCTCCAGACTATTTTTAATTAAAAAAAACCTCTAGTCTGGAGATGTTTTAGTATAACAATCCTATATCAATAAATTTGTAATAAAATTATGTACATTTTGATACTGGTTAGTTCCAGAAAACGATACAAGCTAGCTACTTCAATTTACCTGTTTATACCTGAATGTCAGGTAATGGGTTCGAAAAAGGTCACCAACCGTATAATGGCATTTTCTACAAGTCTTTTACTTTCGTTTGATCCTATGTCATCATAGGAAAAGAGTTCGGGTACTTTAAAAAAAACAATTACATTTTTTTATTTTAAAAATAGCCTGGATCAAACTTTTGGTGACAACCCCCCTAGGTCATGTTTCTTAACATGTTTTATTGTTTCAAAAAAAAATTTTTGCCTGTAAAAAGAGTGAGGGATCCACTACATAGATCGCGATCTCTTAATGAAATATTTAAATTATTACATATTTTTTCCTGTTCATGCATCAATATAGAAAAAAAAATCATTTGCCGTTCAGGTCATGTGGAATATATTAGAGAAATGCTTAGATTGATATGTACGGGACATGTCAAGAAAAATAATTTACATTAGTGTAACAATGAATTCAATGGGTATTCAATTCATTCTTCATAATAATTATTGTTATATGCATATAATATACAACCTGCCTTAGCAATTAATTACACCAAGATGTATGCTTGAATAAGCATTTCATTGTAATAATACAATAGCTGTAAAATATTATCCAATATCAGTTCTCTCATGTTTGTTTTGCGATTAATTTGAGGTAATTTGACAAATTTTTTTTTAACAAAGGAACATTTCGAATGAATAAGTGAGATATTTTCTTTTGTACGAAAATTGTATGGCGAAACTAAAACATTATGAACGTAAAGAATTATTGCTTGGAGGCTTTTGTTAGGAACATGGTAATATTATATAAAATTCTTTTTTCTTTTAACTATGACGTTAATTCATGGACCTACGAATCTTTTTATCTCATAAACTACATTATAAATCGTAACATATTTTACCTTACGTTATTATTGTGCAATATTATTTACCCTGTTTTCCTTTATATGGTAGAAGTAACAAGTACTTATACTTAGTTTTCTACTTATTTTGTTCTTATTTTTCCTTATTGGAATGTCATAGTTCTATCTGATCAGATAAAATATGGCGTTTGATCGGATAAACAAAAAAATACATGTAAAATGTGTGGCTTTTAAAAAAAATTGTATGCAACTAATCAAATCTGCATTATGAACTACAAGGCAATACCAGTCATTACATATCCCACTACATTACCACATATCTTACTATTCAATTTTTTATTCTTTTCACCTAGCGAAAGAATGTATGCGTGTGGGTGTGTGTGGACGTGTGCGTGCGTATGCGTGTGTGCGTATGCGTGTGTGCGTATGCGTGTGTGTGTGTGTGTGTTTTTGTAAATGTGTTTTGTTACTTTTTCATGTCGAAACTTCTGGGTTGATTTAGATGAATTTTAACACGGATAGACTATGCACCTGGAGCACATGAAATACTGAAACTACGAGTTTTAGTAATAAAATTTGCCAAAGGTTACGGTACCTGTATATAATGATATAAATACGAAAGACACTTGGGACGCATACGAATGAAGCGAGGGTAAATCGCTGTATAAATTGGTACACATGTTTTACTTTTTACGCTATTCTTATACAAAAGACTAAGATAATTTACAACGAAAAATCTTAGGAAAAGCTATCCGAAAAAGATGCAAAAGCGGAAATCCTAGTTTTGTTTGATTTATAGCCCGTTTATTTATTCATGAAGTTTGCACTCTTTAGGTGTTAAGTTTTGTCATAAAAATCCGATTATAGGAACTTTCGAGTTGAATAACTTGGAGAAATTAACGGTAGCAGCATCATAAATTTAAGTTGTTCTTGAATATTATAAGCATTCATTTTATAATGATAAAATATACTGTTCTCCTTTGTCGACTTAACAGTAGTTTGTTTCTGATTTTGCTAGTGTCTTTAAACTTATTTGTTTGTTTGTAATTTTTGCTAGACTTTTTATGTATTACTAAAGACAATTTTTTGCCCCGCTCCAGTTCGTCCGTAGTTACATTTTAACGTTTAGTAAAGATTTTTCAGACATGAGATATTTTCCCGCACTAAAAAGCATCCTATATATTGACCCGGATAACCAGCTATCACCATACCAAATTTCATCAACATTTGTACAGTGGTTTTCCGTGAACTAAGCCGAATCTGTACATAATTTTTTTTTGGAAAATCTTATTGAAATAGTTATTTTTATCCATACAGAGGCCGAATCTATAGTTTTTAGAATTTTGGTCTGGCTGTCTATCTGTTTGTCTGTGGCCGCATCACGAGAAAACCACTGGACAGATTTTGATGAATTTGGTATGATGATAGCTGGTTATCCTATATCATAAATAATATCATTTCTGAGAAATCTATACTAAACGTTAAAACGTAACACGTTGCTAGTTACAGAATAAATTAATATTTTTAGGTATAAATAGTTATATTGTAGAACTTCTTACCAGAATTGGATTAAGTAGGTACAATTGGGAGGTTTGGAGTTTACACAAAAAATTGATAGTTATATTCGGAAATATTAATTTATACTACAAGAATATCTGCTACAGTATTGATTTAACAGCTCTATATTCCATTTAGTTGAAGTTTAATCAAGACAGAACATACTATAGAATGCACTGCTATCTCGCTTTTCCTACATCCTTTTAAGCCATGTTTAGAATTTCTAAAACTTAACTCTATATATACAATATAAATAAATCAACTTAGAATCTCTCATCGTTATTCACGCTATCGTGTAAGTTTTATTGAATGAAACAATATCCGTTCAAAACTGCTTTGTAACTCTCCTTGAAAGTAGCGGGAGAGGGGTGGTCTATTAATTAGAGGCATTGGTTTTACGAGGGCTACGGTAGTATGATTTATGCTGTGTTATTATTTAACTGAATAAGAAGGCTATTGTCTGGCAACTCCTTACAATGTCAAAGGTTTTAGGTTTGATAATATTTGTTTTAGTCAGTGTAAAAAAATATATGTTAAAAGAAATGTCGAGTTCTTAAAAACTCATTTCTAGTAAAATTGTTGTCTTAAGCGTTTGTGGCATTTATGAAATATATTATTCACATATAATATATTTTAATATTTATATAAAATATACTATATCTATGCATATAATAAAACTGTAGAGGTCGAATGTTTGTACATAGAAAAAAAATGCTAAAAACCGAGCCAGGGGTGTAAGAAGAGAAATAGAATAAATTTAGATTTTTTCATTTTTTTTGTTTCTCTGTATGTTTGTCTGTTTGTACGGATAATCCCGAAACTGTTAGACCGTTTTAAATGATTTTTGCATGATGGTACCTTATATATCCGGTCAACATTTTAGATAGTTTTCATCCCGAAAAAATAAAAAGTCATATCGAATAGATCTGTTCGTGGTTTTCTAGAGGAGAAGAAGCAAAGCAAGGGTGAGACGCTAGTATTTTATATAAATATTTAAGTAGGAAAAGGCTACGTTATAAATTATGAATTAAAGATATCTTTTGGTATAATTTCTTCTATGGGATATTGATATAACCTTTTGCATTTCTTAGAGAATACTTTTTATTTAAGTACAAATTTTAATTAATAATTAAAAGTTATAATTAACCTTTTTAAATTACATTTTTAATTCCTAGCTTTGTAAATTCAAATTAACTCAGTAACTTATTTAGATAATAAGTCTAAATATTAAATTAAGCCAAAGACATACTAGAAAGTTTCATCTTGAAATAGAGAGGGTTTACTAACAGTGGTGTGCGAGGGCTGGAGTGTTTTGATGTGATTTATACTGGTTATTCAATTCCTATTGGAGGTCATCGCCCTAGGTGCGGTGTAGGTGCGGCTAGGAGGGTTCCAATGAACGCAAACTAACGTACTAGACGGTGTTTTTTTTTACCTGTTTTGAAGAGTTAAAGTATGGCATTACATAAACTTCACTGGTTTTTTAATAATAATATATTAAAAAAAAATTAAAACTTTTAACTAATAATAAAAGAACAAACATCGAAATATTGTTAGTTCCCTTCTATTATATTACATACATAACAAAATGGATAGATATGGGCGACAAACAATGGATGCTTATTTGTGTCTAAATATATTTCTCTTTAACTGCACAAATATTTCCCATGCATTTCTATCAAATTATTAATCGTTTTATTTTAGTTACTTAATAGCTAAAATTGACTGTAAAAATATTTTTTTTTTGCATATATTTTAAAATACGTATACTTAAGTGATTAAACGTATGTTTGTGAAAGATTGTGATTCTTGTGATTGATTATGATATTGCTTATCTTTATACTCCGTCTCGTGTATGTAGCATGGTCATTAGTTTGATTATTAACATGATGTTTTCCTTGCTAGTATAAAATATACCCAAGATAAATAGAGAGCTGGGTCATTATGTCCCTATCTACTAAGTAATTGATTTACTAATATCTTCTTGAACGATTTTGATGATCGCGACGATCTATACATATAATAAAATTGTAACTAAGCCGAGTCTGTACATTAGAGATTTTTTGGAAATCTTATTGAAATAAACACAGAGGCCGAATCTATAGTTTTTAGAATTTTTGTCGGTCTGTTACCGCATCACAGAAAAAACCGCAGGAGGGATTTTGATGAAATTTGGTATGGTGATAGCTGGTTATCCCGGTCAACATATAGGATACTTTTTACCGCGCGAAAATATCTTATTTTTGAGAAAAAATACAAAAACTGAGCATACTAATATGTAAAACCTAAGAATTTTGTTTTTGGACGGAGTCGCGGGCAATGCTTGTGTAAATATATGCGCGCAAATACATATGCAAAAAAAAATCATTTTCAATTTTTTATTTTTCTTACATAATCTAATATGACCACAGTATAATTTAACTATGCGTCGAGCCATGAAAGAGTAACGCTGACATTTTTCAACTCTGTTGCTCCTGAAGGTGACATGAAAAGTAAGTAAGCCTGTAAAAGTAAGCCAATATAATAACGTGGTAGCTTTATAAACATAAATATGTTGGGATATTAACACACAACACCATCTAGTTCCATGGTAAGCTACGAGACCTCTGTTATGGATACCAGATAGTTGATACACTACACATATATAACTTTAAATACATACATATTATAAATATAAACACCCATGACTGGAGTACAAACATTTGTGCTTATCACACAAATAACTACCCTCAGCGGGATCCAAGCCCGTGACCGTTGGCACAGCAAGTAGGTTCGTCAAAAACTGAGCCAAACGTGTCGTCAAAGATCCGCCATTTAGTACGGAAATAATGCTAAAAATGTGTACATATTAGTTGCAAAGTCAGCCTGGTTGTCTGTGTTTCAAATGAGTTCTGGCTTAGTAAATGAATACGATTTCAATTATAATATAGTATCTAGCTAATGTAATTGATAAACAGATACTCGGGCCCTTTTAATGTATTGCCGGTGTAAGATTTCTAATGGCAAAGGGTTGCCAACGTTTATACAGCAATTAATACAGCTAATTTTACGTGTACCAATAGAGTGTAGTAAATGGTCTACTCGGAAATTGAAATGTGCTGTTTGAATTGCGTTCATAGTTTATGTTATGAGATTAAATTTTAGATGTATATTCGAATTTTCATTTATGTTAGCATGTAAAGGTTTTATTTGTGGATCCAGATAGCCACTTTTACATAGGCAGACGTAGTATATCAGGTACAGAAAAAAATTAGCTTTAATTTGATATATAAATAATGAACATACGCGATGAACGTATAAACGTCTCAAAATATGACCCGCTTACACCTGGCTGCGAAGAGGTTGCGGCCAAATGCGCAACGGCAGCTATCATTTTTCAAGATCTCTACGTATAGTTCTGTGAAGTGGAGTATAATTCATTGCAATAACAAATGCATCGTTTTTATTCCAAAAAGTCAACTATTATTTAGTTAATTAAACATACTAGCGGGCACATTTGAATAGGCACCTCAGTCAAAACATATTGTCCCTTTTATCATTGTATATAAAAAAATGATTTCGATTAAATACACCATGAACGTAGCAATCTTGCAGTGAGATCCTAGTCCAGTGAGAGATATGTTTTTTATTTCATTTTCTGCAAAAGTCTTGCGAATGTCCAGGCTGTAAATAAAATCTTTTAAATTTATTTAGTGTAAACATCGTGTTGTATATAAAGTGAGTGCTAGATTCGCTATAATAACAAATAGTCAAGAAAAGAAAAAAAAAATTTTGTATAGGCAAATTCTTTCATTTAGTTATTATTATATATTTGGACTAGCGATTCACCCTCGCTTCGCTCAGATTCGTCCCTAGCTTGTTTCCCAATACAAACTTTCATCCCCATTTTCACCCCCTTAGGGGACGATTTCCGGGATCAAAATCCTATATCCTTCCCAGGGTCTTAAACTATCTTCTTACCAAATTTCATCTAAATCGGTTCAGTAGATCCATAGATTACCCCCTACAACGTCACAAACTCACAAACTTTACCTCTTTATAATATTAGTATAGAAAACTCAGCCTTTAACGTTCAATTGTTATACCCAATCATCAAATCCAATGCCATCCTTTGTTTTATCCAGATCAAGCTCTGTATCGCCAGTAGAGTTAAAATTTCTATATCTATATAAATAAAGAGGTAGGTAGATTTGTTGGTATATTTTTGTTTGCTATTCCTAATTAAAGTATGGTACATACGTTTTTGCCGTAGTGTAAAGCAATAAACATTTTTTTAAATACAACGACATATCAGTTTTCAGTTTATTAGTTAGTAATACAATAGCTTATCGCTTTATTTTTAAATGAATTTATATTTTATATATTGGGTCTTGTTATTCATGTGAAACCAACCCTTAAGGAATAAGTAATAAAATAAAATAAAAAATTATGGAAATTAAACAACATAAATAACCTATAGGTATAACATAATATAAAAATACAGTAAAAATCTGCAGAAAGAAAATTTTAAATATATGGAATGTAAAGGTTTTATATAAATAAAAGTTGGTAAAATCTTAACTTAATCCCGTTAAACATTTTTAAAAATATATCGTTATTGAATTTCGTCAAAAACCAGTGTTCGTTTCGACATCAATAAATAAAAAAAAAATAGTTCGTATAGTCTGTTTTCTTTAGATTATTATTTAAAAACAAAATATTATTTATTTGTTCATTAACATCAAAGTGATCAAATAGATAGAAGATATTTAGGCAATTTCCTGAGAGGAATTTATTTCTTTCTACAAATTTATCTTCCATATCTAAAGAGCGACAGATCAAATTTTTCATCAACAAAGTAAGAGTAAATGAACTCTTATAGGCGTTCCTTTATGTTTTCATGCATTAAATTATGTTATAATATATTGCCTCTTGAAAAAGCTTTTTAGGCAATAATAAAAATTCTTACGGATTTTATGCGAATAGGGTGTTTTTTTACAAAATCAGTAATTTAATCAATACGAATGAAATGAGGTTAAAGATTTTATATACTGAGCTGTGTGATAATATTGAAGGATATATCTACACAAGGAGATAATAATATCTAAATATATGTATACATTACTAGCGATTCACGGTCGTCCCTAGGTACGTTTTAACGGTTAATATGGAATAGATAGACTATATGTTATCATATCATATAGACATTAGACGTGATAGTATAGGTATGATAATTTTTTGGTATATTCCTTAATTTGGGAAATAATTATACAAATTCCACCCCCCTTTTCACCCCTTTAAAGGATGATTTCCAGGACAAAAACTATCCTATGTCCTTTCCAGATTTTTAGCGATTAAGTAGAACCGAGTATCTGCTAACTTTATGCTGCTATTTAACTAATATTTCTATTAACCAATAAAAATTTTAACCACATATTATTTATAGTCTAAACAAATATTGTATCTTAAAGTTTGTTTAAAATACGAAAATGCAATTATAAAATCGTTAATAAAAAAATATTTCAAGTTATAAAAGTATCAAATTAAAACTCCATAACTAAACTTCCTTTTTTTGATATGCAGAAGAGTTTCGCGGTCGGACAGGGTGTGAAGGCGACGTGGTCAAGCTTAGTTGCAACGCGTATTCGCGTCTGGTGATATTCGATGCGCAGTACGGCCGGACTGCTCTCGAGGCCAACGTATGTCCACAGGCACCAGGAATATCAGATGAAAGTAAGTTCAAACTAATAATGGTAATTTGTATGTATGTGCGTTTGTTACTTATTCGCACTCAAACGGCTGGACGGATTTGGATGTTTAGTAAACAGATAACTATGACCTGGATATGGATAACACATACGAAGTCATGGTAAGACTTGAGTATATAATATTCTCTAATAATTATAAAGTTATAATAATGCACATACATAATTTTAAAACTACGCCTTTGTGCGTGAGTATCGTTAGAGATGCTAACTAAATTCTCCGTTCCAATTTTCCTAATATACTTATTCTATAAGTAAATATTTTTTTTTATAATAAAATACAATGCCATATTAGGCTCATTTTACTTATACGATACCAAAATATCAACAATCATTAAAAAGTATTCGGAACGTGAGAACCAATTTTAATGAAACTTTTACTTGCGCGTTAGATTTCGATAATGAGTGACATAGACATAGGCTATTCTTTGTTTAAACATAGAAAAAGAGTATCTGTGGATAGTATATAAAAATATCATGATTTTTTTTTGTATGAGAACTAAAGCTAAGTGAGTACTGGTCATTAGGATATGATCGATCTCTTCCACGCGTTATCGGTGTATATCCTATATGGAATGGAGATATGGACTTTTTATAAATATAATCTATACATATAATAAAATTCTAAATGAATCAAACCTGTACATTAAATATTTTTTGGAAAATATTATTGAAATAGTCATTATTATGATACAGAGCCGAATCTATAGTTTTTAGAATGTTTGTTTGTCTCTATCGGTGACCGCATCACGTGACAACCACTGGACAGATTTTGATGACATTTGGTGTGATGATAACTGGTTATCCGAGTCAATATATGTATAGGATACTTTTTACAGCGGGAAAATATCTCATCTCTGAGAAATCCATACTAAACGTCCCGAGCGGAGCGCGGGTGAGTCGCTAGTTACACATAGGTATTACAAGACTATTTGTTAGATTTGCTACATTTGTATCAAGTCGTATAAATATACACGAAAATAAAGAGCAATAATTTTTACATTCTGATTTTGTAAAGGAGTAAATGGCATGTATGAACAAATCGTTTTAAAAATAACCATATTTCACTACTACTCAGGGTACTTTAATCGCAAAAGCTTGAGTACTGCAAAGTTGACAGACTCGACAACGAATTTCAAACTAGGTCCTACTTCATAAAACGAATTTAAAATGGAGAGAGCATAGTTCAAATGTAAAGTAAAACAACATTGCCGACTAAGAACTATACCACGTGTTAATTATATTCGAGACCGTAATAAAAGCCTTTTGTGCTGTTACTCTTGCCCTAGAGACTGTAGATTTTAAAGGCTTTATAAAGAAATATTAAGTTAATTTATATAATGTTGTAGTTTAGTAAAGAATAATAACTGTGAGCAACATGCTTTAGTCAAATTGATTTTTTAATTAAAGAATGTATGGTATTTGTGGTTAGCAGAGCTCTGTGTTGGGTAAATAGTCTTTGTTCTAAAACACATATATAGTCGAACATACATGTCCTTTTTGGAAATCGATTAAAACAGTATTAGCTTCTACAAAAAATGGGAGTGCTTAACAGAGCGAAACAGTATTATACATCGGGGCTTCGCCTTTTGCTCTGTAAAGCACAGGTTCGCCCTCTCATAGTGTACTGTTCCCATCTCAGGGTGCCCCTCAATGCCAGCTTCTTCCATTTGACTCTATCCAACACCGGACAGTTCGTATCTTCGACGACCTCATACTCACAGATGACTTAAAACCATCTATCTATCTGTCATCGCATCCTTCGCCGTCGGGTTGGATGTCATGCACACATCTTAGTTCATTTTTAGCTCGAACGTACAAAATGTGGAATGATCTTTCCCCTGACGTTTTCTCTAAGCGCTATAATATGGGGCTCTTCAAGAGTCATGTCTTCAGGTCTCTTAAAGGCCGGTGAAGCATTCGAAACTCCTTTTGTATTGCACATGTCTATGAGCGAGGCGATAGCCACTCAGGTGGATTGTTTGCTTATTTGCCCGTTTTACTAAAAAAATAAAACACATATTTATTCATATAGAAAAATATGTTAGAAATATAAATCTAAATCGTTTTTAATAATAAATTTCAATAAATATATATATCGTTCAGTGACGTAATAATAGATTACGTCTGCTATACTTGCACATTATTTATAAGACAGATGATACCTAGAATACATATTATTATTAATTCTATTCTAAAAGTTTTATCATTTTCAGCGTGCACATCTCCACTAGCAGTAGAAAAAGTGATAAAGATATGTCATGGGAAACGATCGTGTCAAATCGTCGCTAGAAATGAAACATTTGGCTCTAACTGTTTACCAAAGACCAGGCACAGCCTTAACGTGGTTTATGCATGTGGTATGTATGACATATTGCTTAAATAGACAATAAGTTATATTTATTGATTCCATGTCTTGTCATTTTTTTAGCTAAAACATATTTCATAATGATATTTAGATATACACGTAAATAACTTAAAAAAAGGCCTTTTAAATATAACTAAATCATAATTGAATGTAAATATCTCGTTTATGTGGTTTAAATAATTTCTTTTGTGAAAATTAATTCACATTTGGCATAGATATCTCATAATCTATACATATTATAATAAAATTGTAACTAAGTCGGAATTGAACATTAAATATGTTTTGGAAAATCTTATTGATATAGTCATTATTATCGATACAGAGGCCAAATCTATAGTTTTTAGAATTTTTGTCTGTCTGTCTGTTAACGCATTACGGAATAACCACTGGAGGGATTTTGATAAAATTTAGTACGGTGATAGTTGGTTATCCGGGTCAACATATAGGATACTTTTTACTGCGGGAAAATATCTCATTTCTGAGAAAAATACAAAAACTGTAATGTAAGAGATATACTAATATGTACAACCTAAGAATTTGGTTTTTGGTCATCTAAACGCAGGCGGAGCCGCAGGCAATGCTAGTATATTTATAAAACGTGTAAAACGTATAAAACAACGTAACAACGTAACGTATATAAGTATATATAAATGAATCCTACTAATATTATAAATGTGAAAGTTTGTGGGTATAGATGGATTTGTTTGTTATTTTTTTACGCCAGAGCGGCTGAACGGATCTGGATGAAAGGCATAAAGATAAATTAAATAATAAGAATAGGTCATAGGTTACTTTTTATCCCGAAAAACTGTACGATTCCCGTGGGATAGATTTGTTTTTGTCTTGGGATGAACCTAAAGCAAATCGAGAGCGAGTCGCGAGTATGTAATAATTGTATCTACATCCGTTTTTAAAGTCGATCAAATTAGAAGCACTCAATTTTAATCAAATCCGTTAACTCGACTTTTTACATAATATGTAAAATACTGCTCTAATTAATGAAGTACTATTTGTTCAAAATGCTACCAAATTTTAAGCTGAAAACATGGGTATTTGCTCAGCGTAAGAGATCGAACTGGTAGAGGGTTTGAGTTGGAGTAGGTCAGGCTTTATTTTATTATCGCAACCGGACGTTGGGAAAGTGAACGTTATGAAGCACATGAAAACTTTCGTGCCGTGCGGATATTGAACGAGGAATACTAAAATTTTTTGGATAAATGTTATGTTTGTTCATAAATAATAAAAATAATATGAGCTTAAATTTTTCTATAAATAGTCCTTTTATTTTGCGGGAAAATATAGCAGGAAGACGAGTGTTGTGTGGTCTTTTAATGTATAACTGTGAAAAATGAATAAAGGTTTTATATGAAAGGATGAAAATTATAAAGAAATGTGTATTAAAAGTGTCAACCTACTAACCAACTCTACAAAAGAAAATCTTATCCGGTGACAAAACCATTTTTGTTCTTCTTTTATTATGAATCAAAATAAAAGATATTTTTTTTATATTTCGACGATATTATTTTCTTAAATATCAAAAGGATAACTTTAATTCATGTTCAATATTTTCTTAGCTTTCTTATTATACCTACCTACTTACTATGTATTGTGCTTCTATTATATTCATATCAATTGAAAATATATTTAATAACTAGTCACTCACCCTCGCTTCGCTCGGGTTCGTCCCTAGTGAAACAAAAAAAATGTATCCCACGGAAACTGTAAATTTTTTCGAGATAAAAAGTAACCTATGATCTATTCCAAACTGTTATCTATCTCTGTGCCAAATTTCATCCAGATCCGTTCAGCCGTTCTGGCGTGAGTGAGTAAGGAATCTCCGTCCAAACTTTCCCAATTATAATATTTATGGGATTAAAATGTTATTAGAAATATTAACCTTTGGCACATAAACGTTCATTAACATTTTTTTAAATGCAATACAAATTTTTTGAACATTTCTGTTCTGAACTCCTTTTGTAAAAATGTATACTTGTATACCATATCATACTTCCTTAGATAGACGAGAATATTTAAATTTAAAATTTTTAATTTACCTATCTATTCGGTTTTTTTAGGGTTATATTACTACTATCTGTAACAACTATATAAATTTTTTGAGACGTCTCTAACCTTAGTCTCTCCCGTGACTATGATTACTATACTGTAAAGCATTCGAAACGTCAGGAACGAAAAATCAAAATAAATCCGCGAAACAATCCAAAAAGATAATTTCATTATAGAACTATATCAAGTATATATATATAGCCAGCTATGTAGTTGCTAAAGATTATAAGGCGTTGAGCGAGAATAAACACCGCGACCTTAGAAATAGTAGGTAGGACCCAAAAACTTCAAGGCAGTAAAACAGTGGAAAAGATCGTACCGATTCATTTTGTATGTATATGAGTATGATTTAAGCAAATTTTCATCACTTTCAAACATTCAATTCCCTTATGAATATTCTAGTTTAATATTAATTTGATTTCTATCCGCGCTTGGACTTCACATATACGAGTACATCGTAAATCTCCTTAGATTGACAAAGGCCATATTATCATTGGGTTATTTGTGCCATAATCGATTAAAGTTAGTTCACAATTACAAAACATATCTTCGAAGTCAATATTTTATCCGGTAAAATGAAACTTAAAAGTATTTGATCCGTTTCCTTGTATATGTTGTGTTTCATTTCAATTATGGGTTAGGTGAAGGCAAGAAAATGTCTCCAATATTGAAAAAAGGTAAGAACATTTGTAACTAGCGATTTAGACTTGCTTCGCTGGGATGCTTCTCTAGGTATTTAACCTATATTTTACTCCAGGCTATTATCTATCTATGTACTAAGTTTTATCTAAAACTGTCCAGTGATGACACGTTTGGCTCAGTTTGTAGTGACCCTGCTTGCAGTGCTAGCGTTCGCGGGTTGGAGTCCCGCTTGGTGCATTCATTTGTGTGATGAGCAAGAATGTTTGTACTCCAGTCATGGGTGTTTATATTTATAATATGTATGTATTTAAAGTTATATAGTGTATCAACTATCTGGTAGATATCCATCTATCTATCTATCAGAAGGAGTAATAAGCAAACACACAACCGTACAAGCTTTCGCAATTATAATAGAAGGCTGATTAATAATTTTACTTTATTTAGTTGCATCGTAAATTCAGTTCTCGCTCGGCACCAATAATTCTGTTGTTATGTTACCGATTTCTGGATACCGTAGACGGCAGTGTCTTCATATTATGTACTATACTTATGTGCTTGCTTTACTATTGGGCAACGAAAGCAAACAAAAAATTAAAACTAAAATATTTTTCTGTATTCATTCATATTTTTTTTATTTTTTTTATGGTATTCAGTGACAAACGAGCAGACAGCCCACCTGATGGAAAGCGGTACCTGTCGCCCGTAACACCTACGGTTCATGCACTTAGGTTTGATGTTACAAAAATGCAGAACCGCAGGTGCGTTGTCACTGTGAGGACTAACATGATATGCCTCTTGCCAATAATTGCGCTAGCTACCTTATCCTTCAAGCCGGAACACAACAATGTAATCATTGTTGCTTGGCGGGAGAAATAGATAAAGGGGTGGTACCCATCCAGTCGGATTCCTCAGGCTTAATAGAGTCCTACCACCGGTAGAAAATTACAATAAATACAAGTAAAAGTAGCGCATAAGTACGCATATATTTCAATAGCAGATTCGTATTTGAATATTATGTAAGAATGTCTATTAAAATATTTAAAAAATGCTCATTTGTAAGTCTGCACTTGCAGGTATCGTTTTTGATCGGTCTCTATATGCAGGAATTTGACCCAAATCTTTTTATTGAATGCCATAATTCTCGGAAAAATGCTGATATTAACCCGCAATCCCATATACACGTGTTCTGTATGAAATTGTACCTTTTAATCTGGTTAATACTTTTTATTGCATCAAAAAGGAGGCCTACTCGCGAAAATTTCTGAATGTTTTGTATGTTATTCCAATTTTTCCCCGCGGCTTTAATTACGTGAAATAGAAATGGGTTTTATTTGAGTAAAATTTATAAAGTTAATTCTGTAAATTAATACGTTTCTGCTGTACTTGTGTAGAAAAATGATCGATGCTCGATTAGTGTAAATATGTATTTTATTGATTTTACTCTTCAATACAAGGTTGCCAGAAATTTTTTATCCAAATCGCCAATATATAATTAAAGGCGCGAAATATCCTAAAACCCCTCTTAAGTTTTTTTTGGTAGTTATTTTATTTTTTGCCAATAGATAAAAAAAACAGACTTAATTTTTTTATTACGTTGAAATTAATTACAATATTTTTATAACTACACTATCAAGTATTAAGAAGTAAAATATGAAGAATATACAATTTATTTATAGGTTATGTAATATACAATAAATTTCCTTTGCATGGGATATATTATTTCAGTTTAGATGTTAGTTTTATCTAATGCACATTAGCATTAATGCGACCGACCGATAGTTTGCTATTACCATATTACCAAAATATCGGGCATAGCCGTAATGTCTGACTTTACTGATATTTTAATGGCTAAAATGAAATTTTACTCATAAAATGCCATTAATGATTATGCTTTAAAGTTAAATGTTGTTGTAAATAATAACACTTTGATTGTTTTACTATTGATCGTTTAAAATTGTTTAAGATTTTTTAAAGATTTTAAATAGCTTCATGATAATCCTTATAATACGATTCAAGTTTTTTTAAAGTTATTGTACTATATAGGTACTGTATAAATATCACACATAAAAAATAAACAATAAAAATATCACACAAATGTATGGCATCAAATACATATTTCATTGTCAACTTCCATACTGAAGCTAATTTAATTTAATCATTTATTTCAAGCAATGTTTACAAAAGGATCTTAAATATGTAAACAGAGGCCCATAGCATATATACCTTAAAACTAAAGGATTAACATATTGCTCAGTAACTTGATTCTAATACAATTATTTTTAATTTCATGTTTTTCGCCTTAGTTCCTCTTGGAGTCCTCATAGAGAGATATGAGAGTGCAAATGAAGAAGACGAAGCAGATAACAACTTTAAAGATAATAGTGATAGCGGTCATTTTGATAAATCAGGTACTTCATTTTTATATAGTTTTAATTTTATTCAGTTCAAATTTTAATTGAAGTTAGAATAATTTTAATAAGTTCGTAGTATAAGGGTTATGTATGTAGATAGTAGATACATTTGAGACGAAATCGTATTACGTCTATCTACGTTGTTTGTAAGTAAAGCTGTGTAAACTGTACATATATTGCATTTACTATGAAATAACAGAATGTGTTATTATGTGTATTCTGGTCAACAATAAAAGTTAATAGGTCATTAAAAACGTTGTTTTAGAGATATTTTAGTTTTAATGTCAGCGCAGTAATATATACAATATTAATTAAATTTTGTGGAACATCATTATCAACATATAATAAAAGTGTAACTGATCGCTGTCTGTATATGGAATATATTTGAGAAAAGCTATTATTGTCTTTATTAACGCAATAGAATCCAAAACAATGATTTTTAGAATTTATGTCTGTTTGTCTGTGTTTGTGCTTGCTAATCTCAGAAATGGCTAAACCGATTTGGGTGCGGTTTTTACTAATGTATTGTGGTAAGCTTTACTTAATATTTAGCTTTTGCTTTATTTCAATGGGTTCATAAATAAAAAGGTTAGTCCATTTAAAGAATCACCTAGAGACGAACGCGAGCGAAGCGAGGGTAAATCGCTTGTTCTATCATATATATAGTAATTAAAATTGTCCAAATGTTAGTTGAAATTAGTATAGTATTATATGATCTGTGGTTGAACTCATTCTAGGGTTTTATCAGTATTCAATAGAATGTCCTATTTAATTGATTTATACGAAGCCCAAACATGTTACGTAACAGAATGATTAGACAGATGATGTACAATAACTACATAATACACATACTGCGAGTATCACCGTTCGTAGAAAACTAATTATAATAAATGTGTATGTATAGTATATACTATACATATATTATGTACTTCTAAGCTTTTTATGTATCGGACACATTTCTTCGTAATTGATCTTGTAAAATTGATTGAAAGAAAAAAGTAATTATATGAAAATGACATGTCAGAATATGTCATTCTCAATATTATACACATTTTTTAAACTAGCTATTTTACCCTCGCTCCGCTCGGGTTCGTCGTTCTAATTACATTTTAACGTTTAGTATAGATTTTTTAGAGAAAATACATTTTTCCTGTGTAAAAAGTATTCTATATGTTGATGACACAGATAAACAGCTATTATCATACCAAATTTCATCAAAATCTGTTCTGTGGTTTTCTCGTGGTGCGTTCCCAGATAGACAGACATATAGACAGATAGATAGAAAAACAGACACAAGTTCTACAAAAAATATTTAATGTACATATATATTTAATCGACTCATTTAGAATTTTACTATATGTATACCCTCGCGAGCCGGCTAGTCAGACAATTGAGAGACTGATTTTTATATTTCTTAGGAAAACAAAATCATTTGAAAGTTCATAAAATTAAGATAAAAAATCGTTAAATGTACTAAAATTTAACAGAAGACACTACTCGTAATTATATTTTATATTGTTTTAGATGTTGGTAAGAAATGGAAAGAGCCTAACGCTTATGTAGCTAACGTCAATGTTCCTCTACGTTCGACAAACGATGATAAAGATACATCGATTGAGATATCAACGAAATTAGAGGATGAAGGTAAGTATTTGAAAATAAAAACGGCCAGCTTTAGGATAGTTAAAGGAGTAAGTAATGAAATAAAAAGTATCAGTGAGTCTGTTAATTTTGAAAATATTTATTAATCTTATTCGACATAAAAAAGGAGGGTTGAGTACAGTTCGAGTATGTTTTTATAGGTTTTAGTGAAAATTTAGGTTTATATGTATTGTTTAATGTCGAATCATAAAAAAATTAAAATTAAAGTTTTTGTCTTCTTTTGTTTTGGGGTGGACCACGCTTATCACGTAAGTCTATGAAAAATAGTTTACGTCCTATTCTCAGACCTACTGAATATAAACACAAAATTTCATTAGAATCGGTCAAGCCGTTTTGGAGGAGTTTTATTACAAACACTGTGATACGAGAACTTTACATATTAGAAGATATAGGCTGCCTATCCTTTCTCAATAAACAGGCTATCTAATGCAAAAAGATTTTTTCAAACAAACAAACTCTGCTTCTTTATAATATTAAGTATAGATGTTATGATATATTCACAAGTAATAAATACTCGTAGATTATAACTTAAAATTCATGTAGATTAGACTGGAATCAAAAATGAATTTTGGAGAAAAATTCTAAAAACTTATATGGATTCAATTTAAAGTGTTTTTAAAGTTATGTGCATAGATTGCTTACCAATTTTTAAGCTATTGCATAGCTTCTATCGCGGGCTTTGAGCGTAATCCAACTTTTTTTCCATCTATCGATAAATACCAGAACTTTTAATGACTTTTTGAAATATCACGCTTGTCTCTTTAGCTCAGCAACCCGCCTTTAGGTGGCATTGGTTGTATTGGAAAACTACCGTAATCAGCTGTTTGTGAGAAAGTATATAGGTGTATAGGTATTTATCATCTATGTACAACAGTGAATATCTGTACTCGTATAATTTGTGTACAAAGTGTTTTAAATATGAATAAACAAAGTGCATTTGCATAAAATAAATAAATAATTATAAATAAATAATTATAATTGCATAAGTTGATAAAAAATGCTATGCAATAGCTTTACCGCGGCAGTCTCCGAGTGCCACATTTAATTTTTTTTTTACAGTCAACTTATTTAATATCAAGAACTTAACGGTAAATATTACCTAAAAAATGAGATGACCTTCGCGGAACAGTTGGGTTACGGGGTAGCGAGTAAAAATGAAATTTCTGGGGAGCGTATATTTAAACCACAATATAATCTTATAAAGAATTCATAATTAAGAGAATTCATTATGTTTTACTATTTTTGCTTTAAGAAGAAAAATGTGTAAGGCAGTGTTATATATAGAAAAATATTGAATTTTCCATTTAATGCTATCGAATTTGGAGAACGTTCTTCGACCTTCTTTTTTTGTTGTTGGGTAAAGAAGTTATTTATATACATTATACATATCTGCTCGTAGCTGCAGCAATATATATCCGATTAAGTTACATAGAACGGCTTTAAGCTAGGATTAACAGCGTATTTCAGATACCACTGGTCTAATCGCATAGTCTATTGTAGAATTAACCGGTTGTTAGTTTCCTGTATTCATGTCATTTAATGATCCATCTACACATTTTAGCACAATTTTGGTAAACCGCACATCATTTGCAAATCGAATTGTTGTAATTTCATATGAAAATTCGATGATTGAACTCTAATGCACCAAATTATTATGCGAATTTTACCTAATCTAAATGTATAATTAGGTACGATATTGGTATATTATTTGGTATGATTTTGAATTGGTCACTGGGAAAATTTTGTTTGTTTTATTATTTAAGTCTATTTATATATCATTTTACATTCAGATATGTTTTAAAGTCAATTCAAAGTATCTTTCATTGTTACAGAGTCCCAACCCGTTAAGGAATCGAAATATTTATCCAATAAAAAATATCTTATTTACAGCATCGCTGGAATAATAACGGCAATCATTATAATAGTTTTAATATTCGCAATTCGCTATTACAAAATGCGAAAAAGAGATAGGAATTCTAAAAATGGCGATATGTTCACTACAGAGACACCTAACGTTTTCAACGACGTGGCATCAGATATTGACAACGATGTTGACGTCAGTCATATTTCTGGAACATTCTTTGATCCTGTGCATCCTGATATGATTATATATAGGGATGGTCAGACTAAAACTGCTTTAAGGGCTATGAAACCTTTATCCACAGTGTACCCTTGTGCTGGCAGTAGTATGTACGGGGTCGATTACATACAGCCTCGTAGTACAAGGTTCATGAATAAAGAAACAGAACCAGAAATTATGATGAGTCCAAAGAGTTTACATGGATTTACTAATTCCCAGTTTTATTACGGGTGACAACAAGACGAAGGGGGTGAGCCTACCTCCACACACTACTGCTTTTGATGTAATTAAATTTTAATGTAAAGCTGAAAGCTGAAATGTAACTTCACGATAGTGAATGAATGATCTTAATTTTAATTTAAATTAAGATTTGTGATTGATGGAATGAAGAGTTAATATGAAAGGTAAATTTAGCGTCACTCTACGGAGTAGTAAAGTAGTTCTTCGAAATTATTTTTTGTGTACAGATACAAAATTTACATACAGATAAAATATAATATTGTAAAGTTAAGTATTAGGTACTTAATTTTATCTAAAAATATTTTTAAAATCGATAAATCATTCATAATCATCAAGGGTTTTCGGCTAATGCATAAAATATTTTTGAAATTCATCGCATTGACACTAAAATATTCAAAATTATTTTTGTGTGTAGATACAAAATTTACGTACAGATAAAATATAATATTATACAGTTAAGCATTAGGTACTTAATTTTATCTAAAAATACTTTTGAAATCGATTAATCATTCATAATCGTCAAAAGCTTTCGGTTAATGTATAAAATATTTTTTAAATTTATCGTATTGACACTAAAATATAGCGGGAATGAGAGAAAGTTGAAAAATATTTGTACATTTACGGTTAAAAACATCGTTTGAAATGAAATATAAAACATGAGATACGTTTCACAGTTTTTGCTCTAGTCACATGCACTCTCGCAGTAGTACTTAGAATTTTTTTACTACTTTATTATTTCAGAAACAGAAAATTTGATGCAATTAAATTGTATAACATATACTATGTGAGTGTTCAACTTATAACTTATACGTATTAAAAATTACGAACTCATGTTTCTTTAAGTTTTTTCCAAATAAAATGTTTTATATTTATTTATGTATAATACAATTAAACTTATATGGAGATGAATAAATCTTATTCTAGAAGCTATGAAGATGTTTTTGTAGCATAATTTTTTTAGAATATTACATATATATGTATATACCACGTACGTATAATATTTTTCAAGCATAAAAAAAATAATCTTACATTTAATGATATTATTACTAAATATGTATATATATATATATTATATTTTTTGATATTACATTTTCAAGAATATGTATGTATAAGTTTCAATCCTTGTTTATTGTTAATTTAATATGAAAACATATAAAATAAGGTAGGAAGTTAAAATACTATTAGGTGTGGTTCTCGTAAATATTTTAAAATAATAATATTTTACTGTGATTATAAATAGATATTTTAATATACGAAAAAATGCTACAAGCTTACGGCCTCGAAACAACTTGTAAAGAAGAGTTAAACTTTTATAATATATGTACATAATAAATACAATCTTTTAGGTCTCACGTTCTATTTCAAGCCTTTAAATTGTATAAAATTTGGTATATTTTTATTGTAAAGAACACTCAGCACGCGCTTATTCAGTCCATTCTAGTCAATGTTAATAATAATACTAAGTATTATACTATTTTGTATTATTTTCAAATAAAATATTTTATAAATTGTGTTTTATTTAAGAAAAAAAATGAAAAATATAGGAATAAAAAAAATACAAATATATAGGCTACTTTTAGGACATAATTGATGATGTCTCAGTTTGACGACACGTTTGGCTCAGTCTGTAGTGACCCATTATCCTATTTGCTGTGCCGGTGGTCGCGGGTTCGAGTCCCGTTGGGGGTATTCATTTGTGTGATGAGCACGAATGCTTGTACTTCAGTCATGTGTGTTTATATTTATCTATACATATAATAAAATTGTAACTAAGCCAAATCTGTACATTAAATATTTTTTGGAAAATCTTATTGAAATAGATATTATTATCGATACAGAGGCCGAATCTATAGTTTTTAGAATTTTTGTCTGTCTGTCTGTCTGTTACCGCATCACAGAAAACCCACTGTAGGGATTTTGATGAAATTTGGTATGGTGATAGCTGGTTCTCCGGGTCATATAGGATACTTTTTACCCCGGGAAAATGTCACATTTCTGAGAAAAAATACAGAAACAGCAATGTAAGAGTATACTAATATGTAAAACCTAAGAATTTGGTTTTTGGTCATTTGAACGCGGGTGGAGCCGCGAGAAATGCTAGTAATATGTATATATTTAAAGTTATAATGTGTAGTGTATCAACTATCTGGTATCCATGATGAGGCGGCGTGTCTAATGTCGTCTACTAGTCTAATTTACTATATATATTTTAACCATTGTTATATTTTGCCATTTGTTATAATTTGTTATTACTCACTTTTAAAAAATCTCGTAAGTATTGGTAATATATATACCAACATAACAAATGAAAACGTTTGTTTGTTCGTCTTTCACGTTAAAACCGAGCAAAGGATTGATGTAATTTTATGTATGGAGTTGAGAGGCTGGAGTATGATCATTACTTATTTTACATCTTTAAACGAGCATATAATCTGAATCTCGGAAACGGCTCCAACGATTTTCATGAAATTTAGTATACAAGAGGTTTCGGGGCCGATAAATCGAACTAGATTAGTCTTATGTCTGAGAAAAAGCGTGTTTTTGAGTTTTCATGCAGTTTTCTTTTCCATTATTCCATGCAAAATATGGTCGGTAATTTGCACGCTCGGGCATAAGCAAGATCAACAATCACAGGAGTCCAGGTTCGAATCTCGGTCGCATACAAAGTTTTTACTTTTGTTTTTTATTATTATTTATTCAAGTTTTAGTTTTAAAAAAAAAAAAGAAAATTGTACTTAGCGCCAAAAACTCCGAGCGAAGCTCGGTAGCCCAGGTACTATACTACTAATATAAGCTACTTTTTACCGTTGGCTTAATTATTCCCACGGGAAAACATTATAATAAAACTCACGCTCAGTCATATATGTCGTTAAAGCCCCGAGAGTGATATGGATATGTTTTTGTTTGCCTAGTTCGCTAGAGTGTGTACCTACTTAGTTATTATAATTTATAAATTTTCCGACTGCATTCGTATAAAATATGATATAAAAGGAGTAATAACGGGAATATTGTATGATAAAATAATCTTCAAAGAATTTTGGATATAGTCAATCACATCAAAATAGCCACCCTATTTTCCATTACGAGGGTAGAAAATAAATAAATTGGTTTTAAGAATATTGAGCGTGACTTCCTCTTCGAATTATTGGTAATGGTTGCGTGAATAGAAACATTATTTTAGTAGTAGCATATTTTATGTTTTTAGGAAGAACGTTTTGGTTTGAACATTAGATACAAAAATATACTTTTTAAAGGTTGAGGATATATATATATATATATATATATATATATATATATATATATATATATATATATATATATATCTCACATCAAGCTACAACCCTTACGAGCGGAGCAATTGTAACACTATGGCGACAAAGCCGCAGCCAAACTCTAGTCTTGAAATGTAAAACCAAGTATCGTATTATGACCATTTATTTATTATTAATCTGGTGCATAAAAAAGTAGTTATATCTGAAATGTATTCAGTCCGACACGACCGGGAGTGACTGGTGGATCGACGGCTTTAAGTTCTCTCCGAGGTGGTGCACGGTGTAACAATCTGTCTCATGGGGATATAACATTGTTAACTTCCTAACTTTGGACTCCTACTGAGACTTTCTGAGCAGAAACTAACCTTTGCTCTACCTAGGTCTCGAACCCAGCATCTCTTTATCTGCAGCCGTCCATAATAGCCACCAGAACAACGACACATTTTGGGCAATTTTAATCGTATAACTAAAAGACTGTTTTACGTTCAATTCTCTTAACTAATGTTGTGAGACTTATTATGAATTCGGTAGTTCAAAAAATTATCTTCCATGTATCTATACAAATAATAACAATGTAAAGTTTGAATGTCTGTACATATAAAAAAAAGGTTAAAAACCAAGTCAGGGGGATGTAAGATGAGAAATAGAACAAATCCAGATTTTAATACTTTCTTAGATTTTTTTCAAATTTTCTGTTTCTCTGTTTGTCTGTTTGTACGGGCTAATCTCCGAAACTGTTATACCGATTTAAATGAAATTTTACATGGTGGTATCTTATATCCACGGTCAACATTTTAGGTACTTTTCATCCCGGAAAATTAAAGATTTTCCGTGGGATAGTTAAAAAACTACAGTAACCTTACAGCTTAGTACACAACAACATATGCACCTAATTTAGTAAAATTTGGCATATTGATACCTTATACCGCCGGTCAAACAACAAGTTACTTTTTATCCCAAAAAAATGAACGGTTCCCGTAAGTTAGATCTGCTTTTCTAGAGGCCAACGCGAGCGTGAGCCGCTAGTAAACTAATAAATTTTACGTTTTTTAAGTTAAAATTTGTTCCATAAAAACGATAATGTCAATTCGAAAATGAGACGTTCATGTAACTATTGCATCATACCTTATTGTATTACAAAGATTAGATAGATATTATGTCAAGTCAGGTTATTCTTTAAATGATGATGCTTGAAATCTTAAGATCTAAAAAAAATACATAATGCAGTAACTTAATTTTAGGATATAAATGTCCAATAAAAACAGAATTCGAGTCCTGCAAACGTTCAATGAGACTTAAATGTAAATTTCGCTTGTGTTAGAGGAATATCCTTTATCTGTTCTAGGTTCGTTATTTATTCACCGGCGTAGTAATAATTTAAAGACAAAGACGTTCAAGAGGAAGACTGTAGACAACTGTGCGTTACCCAAACAATCGATTCAAAATTCAGTCCATTTGGACTCTTTCCATGTCGTTAGAGGAAGTAATTTATTGTTATAGCTCCATTTGTGAGGCTTTTTTCAGTTTACATCCCACAAGACTTTGCTTTCCCTAATGTGAAACTATTAGCTCTAAATGGGGGTACAGTGATTGGTAGATGTTTGAATAAATGATAAGAACTGCGTTTGGTTCAAATATATTGGAACTGAAAAATTTGAAAAGAATAATAAAGAATTCTGTGGTGTCTTGGCTTTAGTAATGTGGTCTTAATGTTAGATG